CAGCTTGTTTACTAGTGAAGTATAATCTTTGAAAGCCATGGAATGCTCGTCTATTTCAAAGTAAATTCTCCAAATGCTCTCCAATGCTTTTCTTTTATTCTAAATATTGCTTTATAACGTAGAAAAACACTATGTAGTTTTGTTTGTCAATACATGAGACCGACGCCATACCTTAATTAGGGGCGTTGAAATTAACGGCAATGTTCGTCAAAAATATAATTAATCTGCACCAGTCTTTTGGTCATTAACTTTTTTCATTAGCATTCTTTACCTATGTTTGTGTAAATGTCTGTTTACATAGAACCATCGTTAGTATAAGCACTCAATCCAAAAACTGCAACACACAAAAGGAAGTCATTATCTTTACCGATTCAAATACATAGTCATTTACTTTTCTACGTTATAARGCAATATTTAGAATAAAAGAAAATCTTTAGTAAGTCTTACGATTTAACCGCCAAAAACGCTATCCTAAATATGTTAATAGCAATATAAAGGTATGCAAATGATAGAACTCCCCTGGCACCTCTTCGCCGCTAGGCCCCCATAACAAATTCACGCTCCGTGGTCCCTGTGACCACCGACGAAATAAACACGATTTTGAATGGAGATCCGTTTTTRTAATGATAAAATAAACTATGCTTGAAAAGCTCTTTATTGACATTTTTTCTTTTGATAAGACTCCAGTGATCAAAGTTTCTGTTACAATGGTAGAAAAATATTACTACATAAGATAAGGCAAAATAACAAAAATGATTAAATCTTTCTTGTAGCTTTTACATTGGATATAGAAGTGGAATTCAGAGCTTCACATCAAACCTGAGTACAGTAAAAAAAATATATATAAATAACTAAATCAAATTCGAGACATGTTTTGCTAATTTTGTAAAATAGAAGGTAAAAGAATTAAATAGACCATATATTCCCATGATATAGGCTTCTGAATAAGTCAACCATAAATTCAGCCATAATTTTGTATAAAAGGCTCTCTTACCTAATCGCAAAGTGGTGGCGTTTTGGTMGATGGCACCCTCTTTTACGTGCTGTTCGTCGACGATGACATGACTTGCGGCCACGACGAGGAAGTAATACTCCATTCAATCCTTCAATGTCACTCATCAAAACCCCAAGGCAAACGAGAAGAACAAAGGCAGMTATGATGGCTTTCTGACTTTCCATGCTGTTGTCGATGCTGGTCGGCCTCTGATGACTATTAGATCTCTATATACAGTTCAATATGTTCCTATACTTATACGTTACTTTGCTGAAAATCCATTGGCTGTCGGCAGTGATGACGTAATCAGTTAATTTGCGAACTAGAAAAACAACCTTCTTTTTTCATTGGCTGTTGTTGCTGAATTTTAATTCAGCAACATGAATTTTAATTCAGCATTTAAAAATGCTGCGGAATTTGATTGGCTGCTTTCGGTAAGCATATTACCATAGTAACGATGGGAGGTATATTTGTGACGCAATTGTCCCGACTATACGGTTTTCTCATTAAAGCGTTACTCCTCTGTGTTCGGAATCGACTATTTTGGTTTATGGGCGGCCTTATAAAAACTGTAATAGTGCACTCAAGAATGCTGCGTTATCTTATTCTTGGCAATGGCTAGCTTGGCTAGTTGCCTTTTCTTTTGCAAGGCAGTGAACGTCAAAGCCTTGTGATTGATAGTTCAAGCGTATTGGGAGGAGTTTAGATCGCAAAAATGAGTAGGTCCCGCAAATCTTCAGTGTGGCCGAATGACAGAACGCCAAACGTGGCCTGTGAAGTTCTTTCATGTGGTTATGTTAACTTGCTATAACTGTAGTACTTTTATACTGCTTCCCCTGACATTGTGTAAAATTTAGGTACCACTATTAAATGCGTAGCGCTATGATATTTCGTTTTTTTTCTTCGGATAAACATTGTTGAGATCTTCTCAAATCCGTTTCAAAATGAAAAACGAAACGAAATATATCATTCGGGGACTGCGCAATATTCATCAGGATGGTGTGTGTGTGGGGGGGAGGGGGGGGGAGGGAAGGCGAGAAATGAGCCAAAAACGTTACTACCCCCTGACAAACGAAATAAATTACGCTCTATCCCCCCTCCTCCTTGAAATAATTTATTCATTATTCAAATAGAGAGTAAAGAGTGGTTGGAGTAAGATTGTGGAATCAAATCCCACTCACTTTGAGATCACTGTTGAAATTTCGCTTCAAAAATTAAGTTCGACTAAGTTTATTTGAACAAATGGATACTATGTTGAAATCTCAAAATTATTTAAGAAATAGTTCAAACAAAAAAGTAGTACTAATAACTAATAATAAGATGCTTTACCTCAAATTATTATTATTATTTTTTTCTTTCTTTCTTTCCCGTATATATTTATCAAGTATATATTTTTCAAGTGAATAGTTGTTGTTCAAAGTAGAGTCATTTTCATCCGTCTGTGAAATAGGAATCGTACCATTAAATACTTCCCGTATTAGCTGCCAATAGTTTAACTTATGACATACGACAGACAAATTAGACAAAAACGGTTTTGATTTTGCCTTTTCGTAGCCTACTACACCCTAATAGTTACTATGAAACACTGACTAGCAGTAATTGTTTCACAGACGGATGAAAATGTCTCTATTTTTAAAGACTGATTGACTGCCTTATCTCTACATATAAATTGTACATATTATTGCTATTGTAATAATGTAATGGTTTATTAATATATACTCATATTCATCTATTGTCATTGCTCAACTGTAAAATATTTTTTTTAACATCTAACCTGCCTAGACTAGCCGTCTTTGCTATATGCAGGTTATATGTGTGTTTTTTGAGTCTGATGAGAGCTGATGAGAGTCTAAACCTGAGAACTTTTCTAGTGTTGGGCACACATCGAGTGTCTGTAAATCAGTTACAACACTGATGTTTTATGCATGAGTGTTATAACTAACTGAATTGGTTATTTATAAAACTCATATTTAATTAATCAGTGTTTGGATCTTGAGTTATAGGTTCTGTCATGTGAACCATAGTTGAATGCTCATTGGAAGAATAATTCATGAGTTTTAAAATGTCAAATATTACCGAAGTTATAATAAAACCTAAAATCTGAAATCAGAGTTGTCGCAAATCGTGACGACATAAAATAAGCACAGGGGGATTCTCAATCCCCCTCTCTCCTGATAAATATTGTGCAGTCCCTTATTGATAGTCTGATTTTTCAGAAAACACGCACATTCAGCCTGAACTCCAATAATGGGCGTTCTCGTCTCTTGTATGTCACACAATCCTTGTTCTTCGAAAGTTACGTGTCTATGAGATTGCAGTACATGAAGCAGGAATGAATAAATACTGACAAATGAGTTCACCTGAGCACTATATATAATTGCAAATAACGCTATGGGTGCTACATCACGTATACATCTGTCATTACTGGCTACTCACATTTCTTCCTTGCATGTGATTGGACGCTGCAGACGCTGGCCTTTTTTCAAATGGTTTAATAACTCCTTCATATTCAGTCCTCCGTAAGGCATCTTACCTTTATTGAAAACATATATTTTAGTCACGTGAAAGGTGATTATAATAGAGAGGGACGGATAGGGAAAGGTTTTCAGTGTCACTATATGTAAATTGAGAAACAAAAATTCGTATAAAATACGAATTGAAGACGATGTTCTTTCGTGGCTGCAGCCTCGAGTTGAGTGACACAAAAAGAAACTATTGCAAATTGCACAGATATCATTTTGGAAATCACATTTTCCTAAAATAAGTCATTAATTCAAATTAAAACGGAAAATCATCATCTATTAAATCAATTTAGAGGCAATTGTAGGTTAAAACTTATTAATTTTGCCGGAAACTGCAACACAATAGAGAAAGTTCGAGTAGGACAGTCACTGAAGGTATTCATAACCAGAGTTTGTTACGTCTTCGAATAGTTCTTTTACGCC